ATCCTGTCTGACTTCCTGTGTAATTGATACCAAAGGTAGATTTTTTCAACTGAAAAAAAGAAGGTGGATTTAACAGAGAGTTCAAATTATTATTTTTTTGTAATAATTTAAACTAGAAAATCGGAGTGATTTTTTTTTTTTTTTTGAAAATTCAACTTATCTGCACTTGATTGGCCTCCATTTTCATTTCCCACTCTTAAGAGCCTTGTAAGTTCCAAAGACTGCATGCTCTGTAGGACTTAGACCTCAACTTTCTTTATTTTTTTATTCTGTTACTTACTCCAACTTCAAGAAGATTATTCTCAACTTGGGGAAAAGAAAATGTTGCATTTTGACACTGTGAAACTCTTGCAACCTACATTAAATACTGCACAAATTAGTATCTCTGCCATCAGCTTTGTCATTTTCTTTGGCATTTTTATAGATTTCCTAGCTAATTTTATTTGTTTTATCTTTAGCTTGGGTCTTAGGAGTGGTGGCAACTCTTAATTTAAAAAATATCTTGGCATCTTGATGTCTGGTGTGGCAGTAAAACAGATTCTCCTCCCAGGAATTGAGAGAAAACAGCTTTAGCAGAAGGTTGTCTCTCACACATGGAAGTTGAATGGCAGGCCAGCTTACATCAAGAGATAGAAATAGGAAGAAAATGACTCATCTATACCAGGTTTTAAGTGTAGAAGAGAAATCCCATCTCAGGAGCCCCAGAGAAGAGGAAGGCAAAGACAGCCAAAAGAGACAGATCTTGGTATAGGCAGTGCAGTGTGGGGCAGGCCTGAGGGGAGAGTCAGAAACAGAACAAATCATCCAAATTTCAATCATACCTGCTTCTCTACATGAGGAAAGTCATCCAAATATGAGCTAGTCCTTGTCCAGATTGGATTACTCCATGCCCATTCATATTTCTAAGAAAGCATCACAGCCTGTGGAGCTGAAGCTCAACCTGAATAGTTTTTGAATTTAAAGAAGGCCATGGCTTTAATCCAGACCGAGTCCATCAGTCTCAAAGGATTTTACACCAGCATCACTGAGATTTGAATTTGCACCTGGGTTTTTAGCATAGACCATTAACAGGACAGATTTCTTGATGCTAAAAGAAGAGAGAGTGACTGTGAATTATAAGCCACATCCTTACTGGCGGCCATAAATTTGGATAAACCTCCTCTCCCAGTGCTTAGGATTCTTGCATGATGTCTCCTCAGGCTTTTCCCCTCTCACTTGTGTAATATATTACAGTAGCCAAATTACCAGGGGATGAATGACCTCAATAAATTCACTCATTTTGCTCTGAGAGAAGATACCATGCTGTGGAGAACAGAGTAAGAATGTATTTTTCTCCCCAAACTTGCAAATATTCCCATTGTGTGCCAATTTTATTGACAGGTGAATTTTTCTTCCTTTGGTTGGGCCCAGTTTGATTTTTTCCATTCTGCTTCCCACTGTAAATGCCTTTTCCAATTACTGTTTTTTAGCTCATATCAGTGAAATCCGACTGCATTTAAAATACAGCAAAAGTGCAGGACCTGCCTTTCATTTTCCTAGCAAGCTGGCTCAGTGCTCTAAACAAAGAGCGTAGGGACAATGGCATATGAGAGACTCCCAACAGCAGCAAAAGAATTTTAAACCTTACTGGGCAAAACGTCCGAAGCTCCCTGAGGAAAGACTCAGAATGACAGTTGAGGCAACAAACACCAGGAAAATCCCTACCTCAAATCCCTATACATTGTGTTTTTACAAGACCTTGTCAATACCAATGTAGCTTCTTTTCTGAGGACAAACAGAAAGGTCCAAAGTCTCCATTCAGAATCTATTCAAATTCTAACCTTTCTGAGGCAACAGATGCAGAAACCTGGTGCTGGCTAAGAACAGGAGAGGTGCAATTTCCAAGAAAGATACAATTTAAAAAAACCCAAACAAACTGATAACCAAAATTAATTAATTAATTTTATGATCATCTGCTAAGCAGCCTAAAATTGCATGAGCATCATCTGTAAGAAGTCAGCGTTACTCTGTTTCTACACTAGGTGAATCTCTACCATAACTGTAAATGACTTTTACCTCACCCTGTTGTAAGCAAGTAAAATCTGGGCATTCAGATCTGAACTACTCATAGAGTCCCTGCACAGGCTGGAGCGAGATTAACACTTGTTGGTAGGGGACCATCTCACACTATGGCATCCCAAATGGCCCAGATACCAAAATGACCCAAAGGAGAACCACAACCATAGTATCTGGAAACATTTAAGGCCAGGCTGGGTGGGTCTTTGAGCAACCCGATCTAGTTGAAGATGACCCTGCTCATTGAAGGAATTGTTGGACTAGATGGCCCTGCTCATTGCAGGAATGGTTGGACTAGGTGACCCTTAAAGGTCCCTTACAACTCAAAATATTCTGTGATTCAATGACTTTGGACATCTGAAAGTAACATGTGGCTTGAGAAGGAGCTCACTGACAGGTTTGATCCCACTATTGTATGCTGGAGGAGAACATGTGCTGTTTGCTTTCTCCTCAGACTATGCAGTAGTCCTCAGATCTGAACTATGCAGTAGCTCCCATGCCAACTTGAGAGCTGTACATGGGGCTTGAGGAACAGCTTGACCATTACAGCTCACACCAGCTGGGGACTATGTCTTCATTTATGCACGTGTGAGAGCAAATCACATGTAAAGGCTCCTCCTGAAAAACTCTGGGCAGAATTTCTCCAGGGCTCAGCAGCACCAACAGTCAGCAGTATTGCAGTAGTGGAAAGTTTGTTCCCTTCTGCTTATCATGAGTATCAGAGATGAAGGAAATGAAACTAGAAGTTAATGTTACAACAGCCTCACACAGTTATTTCCTCTAAGATGAACAACAAATGTGGAAGGTCTGATCCAGGAAAGTAAAAACCTCCCAGCAGGTACTGGAGCTGCAGCAAAGCTGCACCTCATTTCAGTTTGTGTTGGAGCTGTTACTCAGCAGGGCCATGGTGGTAGCTGCAAGAGCATTGCCCTCTAGTTCTTAGAGGCAGAAACCCGCTGAGAGGATTTCAGACTGGAGAAGGTCACTCAGTCTTACAACTACAGTTGCCCACTATTAGTTTACTTGCTGGTAGACTTTTAGTTATTCTCACACAATTTCTATTTCGTATTTAGTATTCTTGGTATTTTCAATATCACTTTTCTCTCTCATCAGATGTAAGTCAAGCTACTCTTGACAACAGCCACAACGGCCTCCAATTGATTACTTCTCCCTCTGCCTCACTGACCTTGTCTACATCTGAGTCATGGTCAAAAAGCAAAGGATGATTTCAGAAATACTCTGAAAAGGCCAAAGGCAAAAGTGGGAATACAGACACATGTGTCCTGCCTGTGTCAGTGTGAAAAAGGAAAGAAAAGGTCCCTGATGTGTGAGTCCCATAAGAGTTGTTTCACCTTGGCTTCACTGTTAAAAAGAGAGTAATGTTTTTTGCTTTATCTTCTCTTTTATGACATCTGAATGTTGGGAGAAAACAGGATGCAACTTTAATAGAAAGCTAAAGCAATTGCTTTATAGCCGAACCCTTTCAAAACGCCCTTAAAATTTCAGTGAGTACAAAGTTTGCAGGAAAGGGTAATATCCCCTATGAGCTGATTTCAGCTGATAAAGTTGTGAGGACAGAAAAAGAGCTTTGGGATACATGAGAACTTCTTCAAATCTCTCTAGACTTTGAAATGTCATTGTTTCCTGATTTACCTCATGAAACATAAACTTTACTAAACACTGTACACTGACAAGGTGTGCAAATGTGTCTTTTCAACTTAGAAACAGGGTTGCTTCTGTTCCAGACAGAGCTACCTCTTTGGATCTAAGATGACAAATAATTCAAGTTTAAACATATGTAGCTGTTTGTAGGCCCCAAGACACTTTATGGCAAATTCGTTCCAACTAACTTTTCTCAATGTCCCCATACAAATAAGGCCTAAGTATCAAGGCCATAAACAAGAGAGGAGACAGTTACGTACAGTCTGAGGATATGAAGCCACAGTCACTTTTATTTATACATAGACATATGTATGTATGTATGTATATATATAAATTAGGAACCCTGAAACTTAAATCCACGTGTGGGAAAGTCTGCAAACAGGCAGAAAGCTGAACGCATTTTGGAAGTAAAAGGTATTGCTGCCTGCCAGTGTGAATGCAAACTGCATACAGGTTTAGTATCTTATGCTTTTGGGGGCTGATATTTTCAGCTGGGTAGTTTTCATCTAAATGAAAGTCAGGTGTTTTTCAAAAGGTTTTTTATTTTAATGCATCAATTTTTTTTCCCAATAGAAAAGGACTGGCTTTTGAAGCAGAATGGAAATTTTTAATTCAATCTGAAATTTTGTTTATTTTAAGGGAAAAAAAAAAAAAAGAGTAAAAACCAGCCATGGAAACCTTCTCACTAAAAATGCTGGCTTTAGGTCAAAAACCCTTTTGAGATTTTTTTCAAATGAAATATTTCCCTTTAAAACTTTATTTTTTAAAAGAATCTGCTTATTTTTCTTAGGTTTTTTTAAGGAAGAAAAGACTAAAAAGGTGATAAGTAGAATCAACTTAGAAAACCTTTGTGGGGAAAATTAAGTTAAAATTGTAATATCTTACATTAAAAATAATTTCCTTATTTTGCTCAAACAGTAGAACATCTGGCCACATCTGACGGGGCTGGCAATATCGTGTAGGTGGCTCCAGGGGCTGCACAACACTGGGGAAAAGTTGCACTGTCAATAAAAAACGACCACGGGCTGTTCACTTCCTCCTTTGCCATATGTTGGGCTCATTAATGGAACATCAAATCCACAAATGTGGACATAAAGTCAGCCTATACATGTCCAGCTTCTGATATGAGCATCCAGCCACTGCTTGGGGCCTGTGTTTGAAAAGCAGGGCCATGTCCTGAGGGCTGTAAATCCATTCTTTTTGATGGAAAACAAACCTCAGCAGGTTTCTTTCTTCATTTTTCCTTTTTTTTTTTTTTTCCCCACAAAAGATTCTTGTATTCTGCACTATGAGTCTGATTTGCAATGGGGAGGGGGAAGCAGCAAATCCAGTTCAAGGCTTGAAAGATTTCCACTGTCATTGCTAGAGCTCTGCAGAGTCAGAACCCCTCGGTGCCAAGAACAAACACATCATCACCACCACATAACGCAAACACGATGCTCTTGTAATCTGCTGTGGGACACTGGGAACCTATCTCCCAGGAGAAGAGGCAGGCAGGGAAAGCCCTGGAAATCTCTTTTGGTGACTAAAACCATACTTTATTGCAAAGTGCATAAAGGACTGTCTAGCCTTTCCAGGCTGGCTTCCCACCTGCAGTGCATTGCTGATTTAATAAGGGCTGAAAGGGATTATCAAGTTGTGAAGCTGTTTGCATCCTACCGGGCTGTAATGAATGAAGGCTTTTGTTCGGCTCAGCCTAACTGAATGTTTCTTGGAGTGGTCATAGCTGAGGAAAGGCTGTAAGTGACCAGTGGTTTTGGTACATGGTTAATACTTGAACATTACATGTTGAAATGGTGGGTGCATAAACTCTTTGTTAGTACTGTAGTGGGCTTCTTTCCCTTAGTCCTGCCCCAACACTTGCTTCAGGTGAAGTCCTTGCAATGGTTTTTCAGTCTGCTTTGGTAGCTCAGCATTCAGTGAAAGAGAAAAACTCTCTATCTTCAAATCCTGTAATTAACAAGCAACAGGAAAGTTCCCTCACAGGTCTCTGCTTTCATTTTCCTCCTGTAGCTCTGCCCCAAGTTGCCTTACCCTTGGGGAGTTTGTATCAGTTGCAGTTCTGCTTACAAAAATAATGACAAGAATGATGCTCGTTCCCTGCCAATTCCCTGCAAGCCAGTTTTCATTCCTGCTGAGAAGGACAGAGTGCCACAGGCATGCTGGGGTAAAAGCCTCTTAATCCATCTCATTTTCAACCCCATAAAAGAGCAGAGCAACTCCACACAATTAACAGACACAAACCCTACCTGTCCCTTTGGAGGCAGAGCTGTCTGAGTGACAAGAAGTTAAAACTTCATTCTTCCTTGATAGGATGTTTTTATAAATCTGGCACCTGCACAAGAAGCCGGAGTTGATCCTCTCCTATATGGACTTCCCTCTTTTGTGGAAGGTCAAATCTACCCTGTTACAGACTTCTTCTCTTGTGTCTGGTTTTTGCTCCCTCTCTTATTCCCAGTCCCTCTCATGCTTCCTGCCCACGAGTGAACTTTGTCTTGAGATGCTCTTGACTATTTTCTGTGTTGGTGCTCAACACAGTTGTACAAACATGAGCTTTATCAGATCAGGAGAAGATGAAGAGCCCCACATCTCCACTTCATCTGGGAGACCCTAGCAAGTGCAAGCTGTCCCAATGTTTCTGCTCTTCTTTGAAATTTCCTTCAGAATATGTCATCTACCATTTTAAGAGTCTGGAGGAGCTAATAAAAAAAAAAGAGTCTGAAATCTTCCTAAACTTTCCCCTTGATTCAAGAAGATAAGCAACCTCCCTACTTGCTCTCTCATATCTCTGGTTCTCATCTATATACTCCCATATCTTTTCTAGTCACTGTCTCTCCATCATTTTCAGATATGTTTTCATTTTGTTCTCCCACTCCTGACTCTGAATGCTTCTTCCTTCCTGCAGATGATGTTTGGGAAGGGATCTCAGCATACTTAATGAAGTAGGGGATTTACCCTATCCAACTTCAGTCTCCCAAGTCAGCCAACAGCTCTTTCCATACTGCTTCTGCAGTTGACAAAGAGAGAAAATTCCTCCAACAGCTGAGGAGCCATCCTTAAGCCAAACGCCTTCTCTGAAACCTTTCAGAAGCACCTGACTCTGTTCCTTGGGAACCTAGGAAGGTTTGTTAAGTTCTCTGGCAAACAGATGACCCTTGAAGTGCTATGGCTATATCACAAAGACACCACCTTGTCCTAATTCAGGTGCTGCCTAAGTGCTTGTTTCTCCTATTATGATGTAAGAAAGGTGTATAACAGTTAAAGGAAGAAAAGGAGAGTAATTTGGGAGTTCATGATGGGTTTTGTATTCTCTAGTCTAACACAGCAAAAGAAAAGGGCTATCCAAGCCAGATTAGCTTAATGTCATAGGAGTGTAGCATCATTCCAGCTGGAAGGCGCCTCAAGAGTTCTCCTCAAAGAAGGGTGAGTGATGAGGTAAGACCAGGTTACTCAATGTTTCATGTTGGAAAAGATAAGTAGTTTAGTAGATTATTTGGAGGAAGGTGAAGAAGAATGAAGCATATGCAGTTCCCATAGCAATTCTGGGCTCCTATTTGTTGGAAATAAAGTGGTGGGGTGGGATGAGGAAGTACTTCCTTTAGGTGTGTGGTCCACAATGGAGTCCAGGCTCCAGCAGCTGCAAACACCTGAAATAATCAGGTGGAAAAAGTCACTGCTGGGGGTGTTACTTGACTGCTGTTCTGATGGTGACTGCATTCCAGGAGCAGCTGCACAGCAGAGGCAGAGGTAGCATCAAATAACATGAACTGATCTTAACATTTATGTGCATGGAGAGGTCTTGTTTTAGAGTGAACTGGTTTCTTAGCAGCCAGTTTTCCCCTCCCCCAGACTTTGTTTCCTGACTCATGTTTACCAGCTGGAGAAAACATGACAAAATAGTGAAAAGAAAGAGATCTGCTTTGAGCATTAAACTTCATTGCTGAAAAATTAGAAACTACTGTTTGGCTTGCCAAGCCTTTAATTGTCAACTGATGTAAGAAAGGCTCTCATTTATTGCCTGTTTGCATTCACCAGGGGGTTCATAAAACAATTATAAGAATCTAGTGATAATCTTCTTTCAGCCTTTATACTCCAGTCAGTCCAAAATATCAACCCAGTAAATGACTGCTCATATGTGAGGTCACCAAGCCATGGACCGGATCTCTGACTCGTTGATTTTAGTATTATTAATTATTTTTATTAGTTACAGCTACTACAGGGCATGTGAGTCATTCAACCAGTCTGTGGTCCTTAATAGCTTGATTGTATTATCTTCATCAAAGTTGGTCCTTTATTTTTCCCCATCATGTGATCTTCAAAGTCATCTTTGCATGGACTGGAAAACAGAAATCTCAAAGGCAATTTTAGGCTAAAACAAAACCCAACAACTGTATTTTTTTTATATGTTCAAAATATTAAAATCTGACAGTGCTAGACTGTCATCTTGTGAACAGTCTAAGACAAGCATGAGACATCCACAGATCCTGGCTGAGAGTAAATCGGTGTATTCTCCCCCCTAGCTTGGGGGGCTCAAAGCTAGTGAATGACAGATGCTGCTACTTCAGGTTACCTTCAAATCATTACACATACTGAATATTAAATTATACATTTTATTGTTAAGTGGTTGCTGAAAATCCTGTCTTGTGTGTGAATGAAAATTAAAACTTTAAGACTGTTTTGTGTTCTTTTTTTTTTTAACATTAATATTTCTTCAATGCAAGTTGTATTTCATGCAATATCTTTGTCATTTTAAAGACAAATTAGCCTGTTGCAGACCAGATCTTTACATAAAACAGTTGTTCAGGCCTGGATCTGAAAAGTTCCAGCTCTTATAATATAGACTGACATTTCACCCTTTGATTTTGATAGCTATGCAGGAGGAAAGGAACATTTTACCAATACTGTATTATTTGCTAAGGAAGTGAAGCATGTGATGAGGTCTGTGGAAAACCAGGATGATGTAGAGACCCTGAGATCTCAACTGAAATATTTGCTCAAGTGTTTCATTAATGTGATGGTCTGCCTGGCCTTCTGAGTTGATGTTGGTGTGAAATTCATGTCAGAGAGACAGAGCAGTCAGATTTAATTCCCTTCCTCATAAGCTTGTACACATGACTTGTAGGCAGCATGGTGTCGAAATGAGGTGACTTTGACTTTCTACCTCACTGTTCTTTAAATCCAGTGTAATGACAAGTTAAAAACAGAGGGAATCCAATAAATGATGCTAAATAGCACAAAAAAACCAGATGGCATTTCTCTTTTGTCCTATGGATCGTTGGTATAACTCTGGATAGAAATATCAATCTCTTGTGGGATTTGCAATTATGTCATAGTGAATAAAATACTCTTCATTAAAAATATTGGTCAGATTAAAATATTTCTAGAAGGAAAAATTTGTAACTCAGGGCTTTTTTTATCTGAAGATGGAATTATCTTGAAAATAAAGAATTATTTTCATATCAAGGAACCGGCAGAAGGTTCCATAACTCATTGCTTCCAAGATCAGAACAATTTCCTCTCTTGTGGGAGAGGAGCAATTTATACTTACTTTGTATGTAGTGGTGAGAGAATAGAGCTTAATATAGTGGTAATAAGATGAGCTGCTAAAAGCATTTACATAGAAACCAGCAACTTGGAATGTTTTTTTCACCACTGCTACTGAAAATGGGCCCACATTTGAGGGGTATCTTTCCTACGGTCTTCATACATTATAATTTGAACAGACCTAATATTTTTGGCTTCTATTTTTGGCTTTTTTTCCCTCAAGTTAGATAGTGGCCAATTTGTAAAGTGTCCCTGCATTAAAAAAAAAAAAAAAAATAGAACCCAAAACCCCATAAATGCTCCTTTGTCATATATGCATATAAAGCACAATTTAGCACATGGAGAGAGATGGTAGAGGGATGTAGTATGACATTTTGAAAGTCGTGCAAAAGTCTTACGTAAGAACACAGGAGGTTGCAACTCTCTTCTATTTACAGATTTCCCTCTCTAGTGCCTAAACTCCAGCTGAGTTCAGTGATGGTTTAGCCATTTAGCCAGTACCTCTGTGGACTGGGCACCAAGTTATCACCTTAAAGCTTAGATGAATTAGATATTTCAGTGTTCCTAAGAGAGTCTTCAAATTGGCACCTTTTTTTTTTGCTGATCTCACCAGAGGTCCGAGAATGACTGCGCCTAGAGACAAGACTCATTGGCAGCTGGGACTTGGAACTGGGATTTCACAGGGTTGGAACAAAGGCACTGTACAGCATCATATTTTGGTTATGATTTGGCAGATTTAAGGACTGTGAGAAGAGGTGTTCTCAATAACAGTAAGCAGAACTGCTAATATAGCCTTTAAACATTGCAGTTCAAGATCAGTTTGGCTTAGGTATTTGCCAAAGCTACTTCTTAACAACTGACTTGAAAACTGCGAGGATGAACTGTCTTTTTTCCTCCCTGTGGGGCAGCCACATTTTGACATTGTGGTTCCTACATGACCAGAAAATAATTTCATATGCTGGAAATGAAGACAAGGGAAAGGAAGGGGGTGGGGGGGGGGGGAAGATGAAATCTTTTCTTTTCCTCCTCCTAAGTTAATGAATTTTTTATAAATGTGTAAGCATGTCACTATTCCAAGCCACATCAAATCACTCCTAAAATCTGTATTTTAAAAACAGGAATGTGTATAATATGAATGGCTTAAGGAATAAAATGCAAAAAGATGTTGATGATGCTGGATTACCAGCCAGCTGGAGAATTAAAAAAGAGAGGGAGAGAGAGTGATGAAGAACAAAAACGCCCGTGTTTCACTGGCCAAGTCAACAACCATGTTTTTTCAGTCACCCCTCATTATGGAAAAGTGTACTCAGGTTGTCCTGGAATACGAGTTCACTGTTTTTAAGGAGTCACATCAGGAAAAAAAGCATGATGCAGTACACAGCATATGACGGGGAACATCTGGACACCAAACTACTGGAGCTGCCATGTTTTGCAGAGGGATGGCTCTGAGGATGAAATGGAGTGCACTGTAACAAATACAGGATTTTACTGGCAGCTTTAATTTATTTAAATACATCCCTGGATTTTGAGCTGTTTCTTTGTTTTGGATAATATTTAAACATGTCAAAAATCCTCTGTCTTTCCTGCCTTTCATTACACATGACAGGGAGTGGATTGCTTTGGCCATCTGTAGAGTACGAATGAACAGAGCTACATCTGGATGGGCTGGGGATCACATGAATGCTCACAGCAAGCCCCAAGCAGTTAACTTGAAACCTGCCTTTCCCTGGATGAGCTGAGGTACTATCACAGTTTTTGCCAGGGTTTGTTAAGTAGAGTTGGGGCCTTATAGCTAAACACTTCTAGAGCATGTCTGGGGGCCCTCTCTAAAGCTAGCCACCTCTGCCAATCCTGCATGTGTCTATGAGTTGTGTTTGGTAATAACATCTGGCATTTATTGTGTGACATCTTGAGCATATGAAGCTATTCCTGAACCTTCCTTGTAGCCCTACAGTGATTACAACAGCTTCAAGGGCCAATACAGAAATGCATGTGGCAGTGTTTAGAAGAGGGAAGGGCTACTAACAGTGTGGTCAACCTAGAGGTTCAGAAACTCACATGGCTTGTGCCAAAGCTGCAATGTGCTGCCTTAGGGTGCTGGTAAGACCCAAAACCCTACCTGAGAAGAAGCAAAGGGTGAGCTGCTGAAGTAGCTGCCACTGACTCAATCAAGGATCAAAACAAGGTGTCCCCAGGGGGTGGTGACATGATAGCTAGGAAGCCACCACTATCCCCTGCCTGTGAACTGGTGCCAAAGGTTTCTCTACCTTGGCTCTCTGATGTGTGGGTATATGTCCCATGGCTATTAGCTGTATGCTGCTCACAGGGATCAGGAAACATGGTAGGTGGCCACTTCTCCCATTTGTGTGCTGTTTCTCCCTTTGAAGCTGTTTCCACCTCAGGAGGTATGCTTGGTTCCTCCTTTTACATCTAATATACTAGGGAAAAGGATAACATCGTCCAGCTTCAAGAGGAAATGTCTGGGTTTAGCCTGAGTTGCTACACACAGTCAGTTAAGTCTTTCTTCAGGATGTCAGTGTCCCTTCCTAAATTTGATGGTGTACAGAAGTACTTTTTGTAATCTTTTCTAAAGAGAAGATCTTGACTGCAACTGCAAAACTGACAGACACTTCTTTTGGGCTGGGAAGATGGAAAGAAAAGGTTAGGGCATGTTTTTGGATCTGATCATCAAAATAATCTGTTCCACATTTGTTATTTTGTAGGTTGGTTGGGTTTTGATTTTTGTTTATTTATTTGGGTTTATTTTACTTGTTAGTTTAGTTTAGTTACTTTTATTCTATTTTACTTCATTATATTCTATTTTAGTTCATTTTATTCTATTGAATTTACTAGCCCTTAAGCTGTAGGATTTATGGCATGTGACTCTGACAGTAAGAGATGACCATATAAGACACTTACCCATTGGCCTGAACTGACCTGACTCATGGATAAATTGTCTCTTTCTCTGTGCCTGCAAATGCAGACTTTGACACAGCTAGTGAGCCCTCTTAGCAAGGGGCCAATTAATCATAGATGCTGGCTTTCATTATGTGGACGTTTCTTCTTTTGAAATGAGGCTCGGGCTGCCGACTTGCAGCATTTCATGGGGTAATTTCACTCAATATTGAGTGGGCAGTAGTGCTCCCTTGTTGCATCAGGGATGGTTGTGCATCAGTGATGGTGCTGGAAAGCCCTCACTGGTACCCTGACTCATGGTTTGCATGACATTGAACTTGTTCTAATGTGTTTTTTTGCAGAAGGAGAGGAAACATGTTGCTCAACACAGCTCAGACTTCACTTCTAAACATCATCATGAGGGTGAGAAGGGCAGGCAGGATTCATGGCCAGCACTGAAAACCACAGGGTGAATAGCAGTGAAGGAGCTGCTGATGGACAGGGGGACAAATTAAGTAAATCAGCCAGTGCTGGCTCTGTGGTGGGGAAGATCAGCACCTCCAACAGAGTTTTGATCACTGTAAAAACTGCCCAGCACTAAGCATTGGCTGTGTTGGGGATGCTTAGAGGGCCCGAGCATCCCAGCCCAGGGCTGGCTGCCATGGGGAGGCAGGACCCTGGGGGGGGGTTTATCCCCTATGGCTGGGGGGTTTTATCCCCTATGGCTGGGCACACTGACGTGCCTGCCATGGTCTTGCAGCTCCTCACTGCTCTTAGCTGCACCCCATCTAGCAACCAGAGCTATTCCTGAGTCAGGAAAATTTCTGGATTCAAAGATTACACCTACAGGCTTTCATGAAAGAAAAAAAAAAAAAAAAGCAAAATCTGAGCTCTCCCTTTGCTGAAGCCAAGCTGTTGTCAGCTTAAAGAAAATGTTTTCTCTTTGTGTTTGGACATTTTAGCAGATTTATTTCCCCCTCTTTTCCCTCCTCCTCCTTGGATGAAGTTTGCAGGGTTTTCCACAAAATACATTTGGAGGAGCCAAGCCTTCAACACCAGCAGTTTTTAGTCAGACTGTTGGAATGATCAATAAATCGGCAGTGACTGATCTCAGAGTCTGAGGATGTCTACAAGGCACAAGCAGCCCTTTTAGGTAAGCCTGAGCAAGTGAGTAAGTCCAGTAGCTCTGGAGCCAAACCCTAAAGTGGATGCAAAATCATATGGGGAGTCAGTGCTGTGCTTTTCAGTACAAGGGTGATGTAATGATTGAGTACAGTTCAAGTAAGTAATCTAGTCATCTGTTCGCAATTTTGAATTATGGCTGATGCAGTCTCTGCCTGCAAGACAGTGAAAAAGAGTGAGAATTACAGTTCTTGAGTCAAGCCAAAGGCAGGGATCAGCATTTTGGCATCAGCTTGGGGAAGCAGTGGGGATGGGGGTTGCGCAATTCCAAATGCAACTTGGGGTCTAGCATGAGCCTGAAATTTCATAGACAGTTGAGATCTGCACAAAAGATGGTAGATGGACAGTGCACCAGGAGGTAGGGGCACCTATATCTGCTCATCACCTCAAAGAATTTGAGAGGCATCAATCCTAAGCACAAGTAACCAAATGTGAATCCATGCCACCCAAGACAACTAGTTTGGACACATACTCATCTGTGGTGTTTGAATTCCACTTAAGAAAATTTAGAGCCATCCAGGGCCTGACCTTTAGCAAACCACAAAGGCAACCCATAAACCACAAGGCTGGAATCAGTGAGAGAGGACAAGCAAATCCAACATATTAGCATAGACTTTCAACTGCAGCTGGTAACCAGGGATATTACAAATAAGAGACGTACCAGTAGCATCTATGTAAGATCTGAAAGTGTAAAGTTGGATTCATGAAGGGCTCCACTGAGATCATCACCCAAGAGAGGGAATAATCCAACATGATATTTAATAATAGTAAGTGGCTGACTTCACCACCAGGCGGAAACAAAATATTTTTAAGTGTCAGAAACCGTAAAAACATGGCATGATTCATCTTAAAACAAACAGTTGCTCATGTGAATCTTAGAGCAGAGGCTACATGGAAAGTCCCAAGATGAAACCATCTCTGGAGGGCCATTTTGGGGGCAAAAAAGAATATATTGCAAGCTGAGCAGTGTAGGGCTTGGTTGTCTGGACCTATTGGGACTGGGATACTACAGGATGTACCAGCAATTGGGAAACTAAATCTCCTGTTCAAAACCAATACAAGAACAGAGTTTTTTGACGAGATGAATATGTTCCCCATAGAGTCTGAGAGATTATCCACTAATGATGGAAGATCTTTGAGCACTGACCAAAACTGTAACAAATAATCCATTGCACTAGTCATTTACATCAAATATGCAGTCTCTGATGAAGGTTATATTTTTCCCAGTCTGCGTTCTAAGCTGACTACAAAGAATAAGAAGATAAAAACATCTCTTTTGAAATTTTTGCATTTAAAATATCCCAACTGTTTGTCAAATAATTTTATGTATAATTAAATAATTAAAGCCTGAGGTGGCTCACTTTCTTCCATGAGAGAAATGATGCATTAAAACTTTGGTACAGATGTCTAGTGACCTCTTGTTCATGGTAGGGAGGAAGAGATTACTCAAAGCTGTAATGTGTTTGTAATGATCTCTGTGGCTGCTTTATCTGGTTCATCAGAGACTTATATGTATCTTAAAAGTCTCACAGTGATTCAGGGGAATTATGTTGACATTTGTATACTTTGAGGGTATTTGGGTCAATAGTGTAAGACCAGCTGTGCCATTTACCCCCATAATTGAGTTCAGCAATTGAAATACATGTTTTGAAAAGCATCTTGCTCATTTTGAAGATATTATTCCTATCTGCTGCATATTTGACGGTCTTTTTGGAATTGCTGAAAACATTTTAGGAAGAATAACCATCATTTATTTACCCAATTATTTACATCAAGACTAGTCACTCCAAAAGCACCTATAGCAGTTAAGCCTGGTTTCCAAAGGATTTGTATTTCATGTCAGCTGACTTTTAAACTCGATTACACTGAGGATGCATGTGAACTAATCCTGCATTAGGCATCAGAGAATCCATACAATAACAAAACGGTGATGTGGGATGCAGGTTTTCCAATGCCTTCTAAGCCAGGAGTGCTGGCAGAAACCTTTGCACAGTTGGCACTTCCATGTCTACCATCCTTTACATGGAGTCACAGGTATCTAATAAATGCTGGGCTCTCAATGCAGTCTTTTCTTCTTTGGGAGAATGAAGAGACCTTTCCTTCTCAACTTAGCCACCTATTTTTATTTTCAAAAATTACAAGGATGTAACACATCTAAAACCTCTAATTTGCTGTAAAGTTTGGTTGAAATAGTTAAAAAAAAACCCTCAATGTGCAGATTGTCACACAGACAATGACTCACTATGTCTGAGTGAACCCTTTTTTCTAAGAAAGGATTGTTTTTGTCTGAGGAAAACTCTCATGGCATTATTTATGACATTTTGTAGCCTTGGAGCTCCAGATCTGGAGGGTTTTGTTAACTGCCACTGCAGATACCTAGATCCAAGCCCCAGTTTTGAAATGGAGGCTCACACAGTGTGCTGCCTTGCATTTCAGTTTTCTTTTTTGTGTCTGAAATGTGGCAGCTCTCACCCCTTTTACCAATGAAATTAATTTTATCCCCTTAAAAAGTCTATGGTTCTTCTTAATCCCCATTATGAAAACTCTGGATATTCTTTTAATCATGCTGCACTCTTGGTCCCACTGCCTTTGGCTCCTTCACAGTATCACAGTATGCTAGAGATTGAAAGGGACCCCAAAAGATCATCTAGTTCCTGCCGGAGCAGGAACACCTAGATAAGGTTACACAGGAATGTGTCCAGGTGGGTTTTGAATGTCTCCAGAGAAGGAGACTCCACAACCTCCGTGGGCAGCCTGTTCCAGTGTTCTGTCACCCTCACTGAGAAGAAGTTTCTTCTCAAGTTTAACTGGAACCTCTTGTGTTCCAGTTTGTACCCATTTCCCCTTGTCCTGTCATTGTTTGCCACTGAGTAGAGTCTGGCTCCATTCTCGTGACATTCCCTCTTTATATATTTATATACACTAATAAGGTCACCTCAGTCTCCTCTTCTCCAAACTATAGAGATCCAGCTCCCTCAGTCTTTCCTCATAAGGGAGATGCTCCACTCCCTTAATCATCTTAGTTGCTCTGTGCTGGACTCTCTCCAGCAGGTCCCTGTCCTTCTTGAATTGAGGGGCCCAGAACTGGACACAATATTCCAGATGCAGTCTCACCAGGGCAGAGTAGAGGGGAAGGAGGACTTCTCTCGACCTACTAACCACCCCTCTTCTAATACACCCCACAATGTCATTGGCCTTCTTGGCCACAAGTGCACAGTGTTGGCTTATGGTCATCCTGTGGTCCACTAGGACCTCCAGGTCCCTCTCCCCTACACTGCTCTCTAACAGGTCGTTCCCCAACCTATACTAGAACCTGGGGTTGTTCCTGCCCAGATGCAGGACTCTACACTTTCCCTTGTTATATTTCATCAAGTTATTCCCTGCCCAACTCTCCAGCCTGTCCAGGTCTCGCTGGATGGCAGCACAGCCTTCTGGCGTGTCGGCCACCCCTCCCAGCTTAGTGTCATCAGCAAACTTGCTGATAGTACACTCAATTCCCTCATCTAAATCATTGATGAATATATTAATACTGGTCCTAGTACTGCCTTGAGGCACTCCACTAGATACAGGCCTCCAACTGGACTCTGCCCCATAGACTACAACTCTCTGGCTTCTCTCCTTCAGCCAGTTCACAGTCCACCTCACTACCTGATCATCCAGACCACACTTCCTCAATTTAGCTGTGAGGATGCTGTGGGAGACTGTGTCAAATGCTTCGCTGAAGTCAAGGTAGACCACATCTGCCGCTCTGCCACCATCTACCCACTGTGTTATATCCTCATAAAAGGCTAGGGGATTGGTCAAGCATGACTTCCTCTGGGTGAAGCCATGTTGACTGCCCCTCATAACCCTCTTATCCTTGAAATGCCTTAAGATGGCACCAAGGTGTTCCATCACTTTCCCAGGGATGGAGGTGAGGCTGACTGGTCTATAGTTACCTGGGTCCTCCTTGCCTTTTGAAGACTGGAGTGACATTTGCTTTCCTCCAGTCCTCAGGCACCTCTCCCGTTTCCCAAGACTTGGTAAAGATGATGGAGAGCGGTCTAGCAATGACTTCCGCCAGTTCCCTCAGCACCCGCGGGTGCATCCCATCTGGACCCATGGATTTATGGATGTCCAGATTGCTCAGCTGGTCTCTAACCCATTCCTCATCGACTAAGGCAAACCGCTCCATTGACCTGACTTCATCTGAGGTCTCAGAGGTGAAGGGCTCTTCAGGACTGCCTCCGGCAGAGTAGACAGAGACAAAGAAGGCATTCAGTAACTCTGCCATCTCTGTATCTTCTGTCACCAGGGCACCCGTCCCGTTCATCAGCGGGCCTACATTGCCTCTGGTGTTAGTTTTACCTGCCATGTATTTGAAAAAGCTCTTTCTGCTGTCCTTGACCCCTCTCGCCAGATTTAATTCTAAGGAGGCCTTAGTCATCCTAGCTGCCTTCCTACATCCTCTAGCAGCAGCCTTATATTCCTCCCAAGTGGCCAGCCCCTCCTTCCATGACCTGTAAACTCTCCTCTTCCACTTGAGCATACCCAGCAATTCCCTATTTAGCCACGCAGGTCTCCTGGCCCTCTTCCTTGACTTCCTACGTGTCGGGATGCTCTGATCTTGAGCTCGGAAAAAGCAGTCCTTGAATGCCAACCAACTATCTTGGGCCCCTTTACCTTCAAGCAGCCTAGTCCATGGGATTTCCCCTAGCAATTGCTTGAAAAGGCCAAAGTTTGCCCTGCTAAAGTCCAGGGTTGCAATTCTACTTGCTATTCTACTGGTCCTACCACACAAGATCCTGAATTCCACCATCTCGTGGTCGCTGCAACCAAGGCAGCCCTCAACCTTCACTCCTTCAACCAGACCCTCCTTGTTAGTGAGGATGAGATCCAGCAGCGCACCTCTCCTGGTTGGCTCATCCACCATTTGCATGAGGAAGTTATCATCCATACACTGGAGGAACCTCCTGGACTGCGGCTGGGTTG